GCTGAAAAGCCCCCAGGGCGGACACAGCGTAAGTCCAAATGGGACACGCAGCGAGAGGGGGCCCGGAGCTGAGGAGGGGGGCTGGTGCTAGTGTTGTGGAGGCCAGTGAGAAGAGTGGTTGTGAGCGAGGGGCTCTGAGGCGGCCGTTTGATCCGCCTGCAGTGCGGCAGAACCGCGTGATGACGGGCGGCCGCCCATCTTGGCCTGAGTGGCGGCGCAGCTGAATGAGCGAGCAGCGTGAGCTCCTCCGGCTGGCAGGCAACATTCAATCACACAAAAACCGATTGGTTACTTACTGTACCGGATGGGTTTTGGTGTGATTGATGTTGCCTGGCAGCCGGAGGAGCTCACGCTGGGTCCTCATTCAGCTGCGGCCGCCCATCAGGGGGCCGAAGATGGCCCGCCCCCCGTCATCACGCGGTCTCCCAGCTGCAGCGGATCAACGGGCCCCTTCAGAGCCCCCTCCACAACCACTGTTCTCACTGGCCTCCACCACTAGCCACCCGCCCCTCCTCAGCCTCCGGCCGCCCTGTCCTGGTGTCCCCCTTGGACTTGACCTGTGTCCCGCCTGGCTTTTTCAACAGCCCAGGTGTGCCCCCCATTGTGGCATGCCTGCCCTTCATTTTACTGGTAGAGGTTGCCACCAAAGCATATGTATCGCCACATTAATTCAGATCTCCTATAGGATGGTTTCTATGTTTATTTCATACTTATAGGATCTAGTTATGTAAAATCAATCCATCAATCAATTGTTTATTTATATCACAAATGTTACATTTGTCTCAGTCGGACTTTCTCAGTTGCCACAGAATCAGTAGGCAATACGACACCCTCTGTCCTTTAGACTCCCTCACATCGTACAAGGGGAAACACTTCCAGAGAAACACACAGTTTAAAGGGGAACATGGAGCAACCTCAGGGAACAGCCATCAGAGGGAGGGATCCCTCTCCCAGGGCGGAACAGACGCTGCCATAGATGCTGTGTGTAAAATCGAAAGATAAATCAGCATTTCACAGCATAGGTTAGACCAAATTATTTAGAAAGTTACATGTTGAAAGGCGGAGATAGGTGGGGGATGACACACGTTAAAATGTATTCAACTACGTGGGCCATCAGCTCTACCACTACGTTTACGCGAGCCCAGAGCTCATTATTAATTTTTACTATGAATTTTAAGACATTTCCTAGAAGCGGTAAAAAATGTGTCTCTTTGTTGGTAAAGGTGGTCTGTCGTCAATACCGTACCGTCCACACACTTGAGTCTGGAATGAAAATATCTGATCACGATGGAGGAATTTGAATTACCTTTGAGATTCCCTAACAAATTAATGTCTCATTACCTCAACATACCATTTTTTTATAGGATTAAGAAATGATAGGATCTAAATTTAGGGATACTTTGTGCTAAAAATAAAAAAACAATCCAACTTTGATAGGAAGACTTCCAGATAAAACCCACAGTTTAAAGGGACATGAAACCAGGTGAGCATCAGACGGAGGATCTCAGGTACGCTGAAAACAGCAATGACAATGTGTATAACGTGCTCTTATCATACTGTATAAGACATGTATTTACAAATATATTATAGTTATATTTACAGCATACCGTACTCTAAAGGTATCATAACACAATGGGTGCCTTCCATTTCGAAACCAACTGACATCTGCTTCATCTGCATTATAGACACTCTTTGCGTTCATCCCGAACGAGCGGATGGAAGGCGAAGATGCAGCGATGACACACCAGTTTGGAATGGTATATATCTGATTATAAGAGAGTTGTTATTTTTTAACATAGCAGCGCGTGTAAACCAAACGGCATGACATTACGCGAGCCTGCGGCATGCAGCTGGAAGAGAAAAAAGGCCAAAAGAGCACAGGAACCAAACAAAGAGGAGGAATTCTAAACAAAAGGGAGTCCTATTTGTATACAAGGGATTAACACTATTACACTAAATAAGAAACCAAACCAAACCTCACTTTAAAAGTGGCGTACAGCTAACACAAAGAGTCTATACAAAAACACAGCTTAATTCTAAAGGCAAACCGTCGCAGAATCCTAAACTACTCTAAACACTAACTAAGCTACTCTAGACACTACTAATCACACAAGTTTAACCACAGTTCAACAGAATTCACTAAGGAGCAAGTAGCAAGAGGCTTCTGTCCCACATCACAGAGCCTCCAGAGTGATACTTGTCCCCAGGCTTTGTAGTGATCTCCAGCAGGTGTGCGCCGGCTGTGCGCTGCGATTGGAGTGCGTCGGGCCCGGCGTGCTCCAATCACAATCTTCAGGAGGCGGACCAGGAGATGGCAGCCAATCACGTCAGGGCAACCGCACAGCTCATTTACATACAACACAGGTTAGCACCGTTAAGAGGACCAAGAAGGCAGCAGCCGTGACAGTCCAGAACACAGTCCCCAACTATAAGTATGTCTAAATGTGAAATTAACCAAATGTCAAACCGACATAAAAGTGAAAAAAGCAGCAGCATCAATAGCCAAGTCTCAGTATATCAGTGGCAACCTCTCCCCACAGCTCCAGTTCTTTGGTGTGGTGACGTCGGGCATGGTTAATCTGGTTTCTGCCGTCATCCGCCTCTTTTTTTGTCCATGTGCTGTTCTTGGCTGGTCCGTTTCCATGTCGTGCTTCTAGTGAAAAATGTCCACAGGCATGTTGTGCTGCTAACTTGTTGACGTCCACAAAGACATCCCATGCTCTGGCTGTGGATGTGTTGCTCTGTTTGGTCTTCTGATTCGTGAATCTTGTGTTTGTTTTTGTGATGTGAGCTGAATTGAATCTGAATTGTTTTAATATCTGCTGCTTCTGATGGATCTGGTTTGTGCTGGTGTTTGTTTTCTGTAGTAGGAGAATATTAGCCTCTCTGGATATATATCGGAATGCATTTTTACTGTACGTTGTGATGCATGTTGGCACGGACACATGACAGAGATCCACACCTCATACTTGACATCCGCAGATTCATATGACCTGTTGACACAAATCAATAATTCCCTCCCTCATGTTTGTCACCTTTTAGAGTGATGATACCTACATGCAGCTCAAGAAGGACTTGGAGTATCTGGACCTGAAGGTGAGGTTTGGAGATGAATAAATTGGATATCCGCTGTTAAACATTTTAACTAGTTTATCTTCTGCTTTAGTTCCGGTTATCTATTTGTTCTGTGCCTTTTCTAATTTGAAATGTCTTCAGCTCAAACTAACACACTTATTACTGACCTATTACTTATTACTGATGACCACACTCTTGCCACGAATAAAGAGATTCCCAGTAGACTTCTGACTGCTCACTAAAGCAGCCGCCCTTTTGTGACTGCGGCTCTGTGTCTTTGTGATTTTGACTCCCAGATCAGAGCTCTAGAGCCCCTGATCCTCGCAGTTCACAGTTTACTACTGCACTACACTGCTGGGCCTCTCAGGTCTCTAATGAACGTAAGCTGTACGTGTGTGTGAGTGTCTGTATCCAGTGCTGTTCAAGCAGAAACAATGCTGAATGTAGTGTGGCTGTGACTGTGTGGCCCAGTTCCAAACAAACCCCATCACCCTGCCACACCCACCTTGATGGAGGATCTCCGTCTGTAGTCACGTTCTCAGTTAAATGAGGCTCCTTCTTTAAGGTGGAGGGTGGAAATACAGCGGGAAGCTTCAGAACAAACTCCCCTCTCTCCGGCAGAAACAGGAAAGATCATAACTTTTCATAACAATGGTTTAAAATCTGCATCTCTCAGACAATAACATTGGTCAACTGTCACTGCAGTTAGAAATTACCTAAAATGTACGTGTTATTGGCTTATTTGAACAATTTGATCGCTTGATTTCTTTCGATATTATTTTATATCTGCTGTTAGCTAGCTAGCTAACCTTGCTAACATAGTCATTTCAAATATAGTGACGAAACACTTACAATTATGAAGCAGGCCAACTCTACCAACAGTGTCAGTCACTTCCTGTTGGGTGGTTTAATAACTTCCTGATTGACAGGTGAATAGCAACTTCCTGTTGGGCAGTTTAATAACTCCCCCTTCCCTCTAGTTGGTTTGAAACGGCACTAAATGTGGCAACCCTCCAAACGAACGCGCAAACGGAGTGGAAATTGGTTGTTAGATGGTTTGGAATCGGGGGTGTGTGTGTGTGTGTGTGTGTATGTGTATGTGTATGTGTGTGTGCTCACATTTATGCTTGTGCATGTCCCTCCAGTATTTAGTGTACAGGTGTATAGAGTGTCTTTGTCCTAGAAAGACCATCCCATTGCTTCAGCACCGCATTTATGGCTTGAATGGCATCCAACGTCTTATATCCACGTGACCTTTGACCTGTCCCCCCCCCCACCACTTCCTATGTGGTGATGTTGACGATGCTGTTGAAAAGTGGGCATGGGATGGCTCGGCAGTGCATGTGTTGTGGCTGTGGCCCGGTGGTTGAAAAGCCAGCTGCTTCTACCATCGTCTCTGAAACGCTGCACGACACCAACACAGAGCGCCACTGTGTTACGGCTATATTTTATTCCAAAAAAAAAGTACATGCAGACCTAAACTAATCATTTACAAGCACTAACAAAAGCTTTTAACAGTTGATTTTCACATGTGCTGTAGATTAATGTTTTGTAGTTTTTCAGGAGGTTATTCTAGAACTTTAAGTAGCCAAAACTTAAAGGGAGCAACTGACCTTAGACTATCTTAAACAACTACTTTCCTGTATTTTGTTGTATGAAGTGGCCACAATAAACTGTATAGAGGTTTTATGGATACGTCAATGTGTGCAGGGCTTCAAAGTGACCATAGCCATTTTGTTCTCCATGGCAAGAGCTGATTGGATGTGCCAAAACTCACTCATACTGTCACACACGAGGCAGAGAGAATGTGTCTCAGCTTCGTGATACTGTAGTTTGTAGCCTGTCTCTGTGTTCTGTATCTCCTTTATTTCAGCGCCATTGTTCCACGGTTCAGACGCTTTCTTTGACCGTACAACTCACATCTTGAAATGCTTTTTGTTACAATTTCTAGGTAGCTGGAGGTCAGAAGGAGGCAGGGAAACCTGTCAAGGTTGCAGAAAGTGACGTGGATGTGAGTAATACAGGGGTCTTTCATTTCTGGCGCTTTCAAATGTTCTTTAATTTGGTTCCTGGTTGTTTTTCTGATAGATATTTAAAGAGTATTCACTAAATTGAAATGTGGTGGAAAGTGAAGCCATTGTTCAGGAAAATGTTGGAGATTTTTTTATTGTTTTTCATATTTTCTCAACAATACTCGCATCATACTCTACATCAGGGGTACTCAACCTTTTTTGTTAAAGGTCCACTTGAGAATTTTATACAAGGTCACTGGTCCGGATCAATGCCAGTAAGTCCTCATTCTCACAACGCGTCAGACACAAGAAAATATACATTAATTTACATCAGAATCTGATTTTTTGAAGTGCTTTGACAAAAAATCCATTAAAAAAAGTTCATCTGTGGAAGCCGTGGTACTGTAAAAAGCTCGACCAATCATCTGAGCCGGCTAAAATAACTTGCCTGTCAGCCTTTCATCTGTGCGCAAACTTATCTCGTGCCCTCATTGGTCATGTGCGCGTTCGTGTGTGTTGGAGGAGGGGCTCTGTAAGGAAGTGGCAGATTTGTTCCGGCTGTGTATTTTCAAATTCTAGCGCACTCGAGACGGTTTCTCCTAAATTACCTAACCCACCTTCAACTGAAAATGTCTAAAAAATTGATCAAGCATTTTAATTACTGTTTGTACTTTGATGCAATATTCACACACAGTTTAAGCATGTCTATGCAAAAGCTATCAATAAAATAACAAACTATATTTCGGTAACATTCAATTTTAGTTTCTTTAGAGGGGAGGTACTGACTGCCGTGGTTCAGTCAGGAGAAACTTGAGGGGGAAAAGGCTAAACTAAATAGGGGTGTTATGGAAAAAGCATGGAAATACGTGATAAACGAATACTCCTGGCTTCAAGGGCCAATCAGCTGACAGAGAGTGTTAAAAGGTGAACACTAACTACTTCAGTTTGATAATCCAATACATTCCCTGCATACTCTGCTGTTTAAACAATTTATGAGAGCGTTGTCTGCGATGAATATTTGATCGGATCCAACCACGACATCACCGTGGAGAAAACAACAGGATTAATAATTTATATGATACAATACAACAACTAACTGTGTATACGGAGAAGCACTTTGTCCACATCAAGCTGTTCAGTTACAACGTTACCCCGTGAGTGTTTTACTGCAGGATGATGAAATGATCCAACCTGCGCCTGGGCGTTTGACTTGTTTAACGGAGGATTAATTAACGGGCCCAGAGCCCCTCGACACTTTAATTAAAAGAGTCAGGTGGGTCGCACACACTTTGTCTAATAAGCTAAATCACAGTAATTAAACCTGAACGTGACCAGCGCAGCAACGGTACCGTGCATGTTAAAGAGGCCCTATCATGCTTCCCCCCCCCCTTCCTGAGAGGTTTTAGTGCATGTAAATGGTCTGCAAAGGCTAAAATCCCGAAGTTGCTAAGGGTCGGGACATCTGTAAGCGGTTGACCAATCACAACAGAGCCGGCCAGCTAACCAATCAGAGCATGGAGACATGTCACAGTAGAGGCACTACGTATAAATATGAAGCTGACAATGAGCATAATATGGCCTCTTTAAGGTTTTACAAACCTTCATGCAGTAAAAAATTACAAACGCTCCACTTTCATACTGACAAACACACGGAGAAGCACTTTCTTGTACAAATACTTATGTATCAACAGCTGCAGGTGAAGTTGTCATTAAGTAAATGGGCCTCTTAAAGGTGGGGTAGGTAATTCACTTCAGAAACACTTTTTGTTATATTCCATGGAATGCTCTTAACATCCTGATAGCAATGAATAAATTAAATGCTTTGACAATAAATACATAAAAAAGTTCATCTGTGGAAGCCGTGGCGCTGTAAAAAGCACGACCAATCATCTGAGCCTGCCCGGCTAAAATAACTGGATGGCCTACCTGCCTGTCAGCCTTCCATCTGTGCACAAACTTATGTCGTGCCCTCATTGGTCATGTGCACGTTCGTGTGTGTTGGAGGAGGGGCTCTGTAAGGAAGTCTGAAGGAAGGGGCAGATTTCTTTCGGCTGCGTACTTTCAAATGCTAGCCTAGCGCACTCGAGCTGGTTTCTCCATTCTTACCTTCCCTACCCCTTTAACACATTCTCAAAAAATTGGAAGCAAAAAGTCAATAATGCTGAAAGAAAGCAAGAAAGGCTGGAATTGCAATTTAAACACTGAAGGATGTTATCTACGAAGTTGAAGAGAAAGGCTTGACTAGGGCCAGTACAAAACGACCCGAATAACGACGATATCATCTAACGACTGCCATTCTCATAAAGAAGCTGCTATCTGTTAATGATACCGCTCTATGTCCATCCTCACTGGGGAGGACAGGCATCGCTCGAGCGGAGAACGCGAGCCCCGTGTGGTAGCATATGTCCAAGCTTCTCCATTAGCACGATTATTCCAACATGGCGCGTGCTGACTGCCTAGACTCACACACACACACTGAGGAAACACACACACAGCAACTGAAATGAAGACACAAAGAAAGAGCGTGGAGCACCAGTCTGTTCCTCGGGCCTCATCCTGTTCCGTATTCATTCTGAGCTCTGTAGACATCAAAATCACTGCAGGGTGCAGTGTATTTTCTGTGTAAGCTAGTTAGAGTTGGGCTCCTGCAGGCTGTGTGTTAACTTACACACAGCAATGACCTTCTGGTCAACGGAGCCGATATCTGCGCTGTGGCATGTGTGTTAATTATGCTGTTAATTCTGTTCGACACTACCATTAAAAACAAAACAGCTCGATGAGTGTGTTGTAGCGAATGCAGTAGTAGTATGCCTCATTCATACCCAGGAATGTACAAGATATGAGGGCGAGTGTGATTGGTGAGAAGTACGGCCGCCGGGAGAGTGTCTCGGGATTATGATTTTTGCCGATAACCGGAGCAGCCTAAATTGGTTACTAGCAGTAATTTGTCTATTTTAGGTCAGTAACACGTTTTACATCCTCGTAGGTGAAGAGCTGCTGGTGATCCCACTGGATTCAAAGTTCAAAGCAGCCCTGTTGTGCTTGGGGTTTTCCGGCTGTGTGTATATAGTTTTTGTGCTTAATATTGGTCTTGCAAGCGCGTAATAGTCCTGAAAGTTCCCTTCTCCTATGAATCTATGATAAGCGCGGCAGTGGCTGATGTTGGGCTAGCACAGCCAGCAGCATTGTAACGTGAGCTATGGGGCGGACGTTCTGGACTGGTGGCCGGTTGTTGGCCAGATCACACCAGAGTCTGCCACTAGACCAATCAGTGCAGACTGGCTCCTGGTTCAGGACAGGAGAAAAGAGTGCTGCAGCACCCAACGAAGTAAATAGC